TTTTTTTTTTTTTTTTTTTTCTGGCTTATGCTGACTTTGTTTCCCTAAAAGTGGAAACTAAATGAAATGCCAGATTATTAACACCTTCCCTGATTAAAGTTATTTTCCTTTTCACATTATTTTAATACACTTTAGAAAGTTCTAGTGGCAAAAACCTGTGTCATTTTTGGCCTGTAGCCATGTGCCAGTCTATATGGAAATTATTTACCTGTAGCTCTTCTGTTGTTTTGTAGTCATTTTTCCCCTATTATTAAGCTGCCTGAATGTATTATGTAAGGAAATTCTAAAACTAATGAGCAGTAATTTCATGTTACTGACCAGCTCATGTATAATGCTGCTAAAATTACTCCATTTCAGTATTCTTACATTGTTCCACACCAACTGCACCTGATCTTTTATTATTTATGATTTAATGTCTTTTTTCCCTGTCCTTCATTTTTCTGGCTGAATTACTTCATTGCTGGTATTTCCTGAAGTGTTATAATATATGCAATTTAACAGTTTCTCAGATTTCATCTGTAATTAATAAGCATATTTCTAAATTATGCAATCTTGGTGGCATAGTCACAGAATTCCCCTGGGTTTCTCTAAAATGGGCCTTCTCTCTTGTTTCTGCATTTTTGCTGCTTACATTTGAGTCTTTACTCCTAAATTATGGGGTTTTTTTAATCAAAAGTATGGAATTCTTCACTGGAATTTGCAGCTGACTTTAGGCTGTCTCAGGATTTCTTTGCAGCCTGAGCTACAAATCTTTGTGTTCTCCCTTTCTTATCAGCCAGATTGAATTTACCTTGAGTTCAATCTCCCAATATCAGCATTTTAAGGCCTCCACGTTGGTTTGACCGCCCTGATGTCAATTCTGTAAAGTTATTTGGAGGTAAATAGGAAGCAGAGAAGGTACTCAGAGGTTTCTCCATGCAGCAGGGAAGTTTGCAGCAGAATGTGCCTTTGAGGCACCAAATGTGCCTGTGATTTCCTAAATAAAAAATTTCCTAAATAAAAAATAAAAAATTTCCTAAACCAACTGATTTCCTAAATAAAAATATTGTTTGCATCATTTCATAGCAAATTCTGGAGGAGACCACTATGCATGAGAGAAATTCTGCTTCGTATCCAACCTTGGAGTCATTGCCATGCAGTTATATAAAAAGCATTTGCTGCTGGTTTTTTTTTTTTTATTTTTATTTTCTCATCTGAATCCACTCTGTCCTGTCTCAAAAGGATCTATTAATTAAACATTATCACTTTCTCAGTGAGAGTCTTTCCTTAGTGAAAATCCTCTTCAAAGCTCTTGAGAAGAGCCATAGGAAAGAAGTTAACAATCATTTGAATATGGAAAGGGGAATCAATTAGCCTAGTGATGAGATCCTCCAAAAATATCTTTACTCTGTGTCAAAATAAATCAGTTTTACATTTCTATAACCCTCCTAAACTCCACTTTAAGGAGGCACAAAAAAAATTCACAGTCATGTTGTAAGCCTGATTTTTCCCTTCTCTCTTCAAATGCATAATAACTAGAATTTAACAAAATTAATTTTAGTAGAGAAAGGAATAAACACAGAAAAACATCCAGAGAAGAGTGATGCACTTCTAACATGGTAAGCAGAAGAACATACTCTTCAACAGTTATTCCAGTCCTGAATAAAGATCAAACAGCATTATAAATTGTTTCAGTCAGCTGCAATTACTTCCAGATCAGATTTGCCTGAACTCAATATTTCATTCATTAGTCTTTGAAGGTAAATATTATCTGTAGGTTTCTTTAACTGATTCAGGCAAAAAATATCCTTGAATTTTGCAAGGAGAAAACAAAAGTGAAATTTAAAAAAAAAAAAGATTCTCTCTCCTAGTTAAATAGAATCACTTTTTTTTCTGAAATGTTATGTGTTTTAATGCAATGGTTGAGAAATGGGTGACCCTTCCGTACTACTCACCTTTATCTTCCAATTCTCATAAAATTTAGGTATTTTGTTAATGTTCATTCTGGTACAGATGTCTCAGAGAAGGATTACAAAGATGGAGTTTGCAGTGTTTACCTCTGCAATTGCTTCTGTTCCTTTCAAGGCAGCAGCACTGAAATTCCTGTTCAGTAATCTCCAGTCTTGTACCTTGGTTTTTATTCTTTTCAAAATGGGGATCTCCTTGGACAACTCATGAGGTAGAAAAAATTGCTTCATGTTTACTTAGCTAGATTTGAACATTTTGTCCAGTTTCCTCTGTGTTTTGGAGTCCTTCAGTTAGTATTTCCTGAATTACTGGAAAGAATTTCAGGGTGTTTTTGCCTGGTTGGTTTGCCTTTCCCTTTTTAGAGAGGCCACAGGGAAAACAAAATGTAACTGGTTTGAATATTGCTTTCTAGAATCAAACTTTCTAAAATCAAACCCATTCATTCTAAGGAACACAGAGCTGTCTGTGCTGTTATTTCTGATTTCCTGGCTCCCACCTTTGGACAATGGTATCAGTACTATTCACACTGTCAGGCTTATCCATCCATAACTTAATTTTTTTTTATATTATTTATTTATTTATTTAAGTCTCTAGAGGTACGACTTCAATGTGAAGTAGAAGACATCATTACTCCTGAACCAGAAACAAATCCTCCATTTCCAGATGCCTCCTCCCAGCTTCCTTCTTTAAAGAGTCTTTCAGGCAGTACCAACACTGTGGCATGTGAAGGAACAATGAAGGATAGCATCCCATGTCTTAGGTAAGTCTGTGATATTGTTCAAAGATTTATCTTTCTAAAAAGCATTCCTATCTGTTAATTAATCCATCAGCTACCAAGAAAAAAGAGGTTAATTGTATGTATGTGACACAAAGAAACCAGAATATATAAGAATATATAACACAAAATAATTAAGGCATAATAATCAACAAGGGGTTTTAAAAGGATAGAAATAATTATGAAGAATATAAACTGTTGAAGTAAAGGTTTGACTGTCATTTTTCAGTGTGATCTAAATGTTCAAGAAATTTCTGAGGAATTTTTTTTAATAGTTCATGAAGAAATTTCCATAAAAGCTGATCTGTGCAAAGCCTTCTCTCTTTGATTAAGTATTATAACACTAAAATTTTTCTTTATGAAAGAACAGTGTATTTTATGGTGTGTAAGGCATGGAAACTGTTCATGCTTATGAAACAATCTTTGGAATATGCAATTATAAAACAGTTACACTCTGTTGAAGTATATATTTATTTAATCTTTAGAAAGAAGCAAATTGTTTTTTGATAGAATACATTGTCACTGTTTTGGAGTAGATTAATATGTTGTTATTAGTAAGGCAGAAAAATTATAGGTTTGAATAGTTAAAAACAAGAATTCTGTGCAAAACTCTATAAACTGTAATTTTCCAGCAATTAGAGTGCATTGCTGACAACAATTGCTCTCATTTTAGTGACTTGATTATTAAACCTGTTAAATGCTTATTTCAAAAGCAGTTTAAATGAACATTTCCTGACTTTGCTGAATCTTTGGGCTGCTTGGCTCCTGAAAATATCATTAACATTTAATGCAATACTGTGATATGGTCCTTGTAGAATTAACACTATTTTTTTGGCATCCTGCTCATTTGTCCATCTCATTCAATCAGGCAGTTGAACTTCAGACCTCAGTTTAATCATTAATTTGAAATGAAAATCAATAGAAGAGGCAGAGATAAGATTTTAAAAAAGCCCAGCTGTGAAACCTATCTATGACATTGAAATCAAGAAGAATGCAATCATTTCACTGGCTGAGATTTTCCCTTAAAAGATTCTTATTTGATTTTGTCTGGGAAGGAGAGGAATTGTTGATAGTGGAGACAGAAAAGTTTTTATGAACCCACAGAGGTTCTGTTTGTTAGTTTTTAAAAGTTTTCTTAACTCCATATAATCTCACATTAAACTGTCCAATAATTTTTTGTCAGATTTTACACAAAGGAACTGTAATATTATTTTGACTGAGAAGTGATTTTTCAAAGTGAGAGTAATTACACCAATAGAACTGCTGGCACAGTTAATAATATTTTATTTAGATAAAATATCTTTATGTATGCTCTCATCCTTCTCAATAAGAAAACACATACAAATATCCACACTTTGCCCCCAAATCCTAACTGGATCCACAGGCCTTGTCTGTCCAAAAACTTCTGATCTAAGCAGAATTACCATGGTAAAAAGAAAATAGTGCTGAAAACACAGGAAAAAACCAGCAAAGATCAGGATGATTCTGTTGACTTTATATTCAAATCATTCAGCAGCACAGAATCTCAAATACAGCAATGATAATGTAAAGCTGCAGCCACCTGCAGATAAATACTTTTGATATAAATGCTGTTATCATAAAGCTGTACTAAGAATGTCATTCTTTTCGTTCCCAATCTTCCAATATCATCCCAAAATTAGGTCAAGGATTTTGACAGTAGCTTCAAGTAACTCCAAAGTGCTGAGGATCTGTGAATATCTTGTGATGAAAACTAAAAATCAAAACTTTGCAACAACCAAATTCAGTGTAGCATAACAAGAACATGTCAAGGAAATCACTGAAATGTCTACTTTCCTTCTGCTCACAGAAGACTCTTGCAGTCTGTTTAGGCTTAAATTATAAACACTAAAAAAAAAAAAAAAAAAAAAAAAAAAAAAAAAAAAAAGAAGCAGTCCAAATCAAAGTGGAGAAGATTTGAATATTTTCATTACTAGCAAAATGGTTAATGAAACAAAGGAAATAGCACAAAGATTCTTAAGAAGATGAGAATGATACAAACATGAGAATGACAACCTTAATCATGAAACATGAAATTATTTTCCTCCATTATTCTAGTCTTTCACCACCTACAGCTTATTCTATACCAGAGAAAATCCCTGTGAAATAATATCCATTTTTCCAAAGTAGATCCTCAAATCTGCAGTGAAAAATATTTAGAGAGAAAGGTGCTTGCTTTTTTCCCTCAGGTGACAACAATCCAAAAGAAAACTTAGAATGTGCTTCAAGTTCACTGATTTTTTCAGCATGCCGTTAAAGGCACATTGGAAAAGTAATACCAATAATTCAAAATAATTCAAATAATATTGGAAAAGTAATACCACATTAAAAAGCGTGGTTTTGAAGATCAGAATTAATTCTGCAGCCATTGTCAGTCTCATGGTAGCTTCTTTAGAAGAAGGAGAGTATAAAGGCATTGCTTTGACAGGTCCTTGTTGGAGCAGCATGCTTTATTCTTGTGTTCCCCCACATCATCAGTTATCCCTTAGAAAAGATGGATGGAAAGCTCAGCTGAAAGGGCATTAGACTAAGTCCTGTTTTATATTTTTATAAAGTTAGGTCAGGAAAGCTGAAATTGGGGGCAAGATGGAAAGAGCACCACTATTAATGCCTCTCACAGACATTAGAAGTTGAAGGGCTCCATCACAAAGATACTCTGAAGGACTATTTGTGTAAATATTTAGCTTCTGCTTGCTGTGAAATTTCTTTGAAAATAATACATCTTTACTGTATACAACTCTTGTTTCTAGTTCCAGTTTATCCAGATCTCAGAAGACCCCTCTCCCTCAGCAGCTTGAGTTCACAGATATTCATACCTTTGTTCTTACCACACATATTCCTGTGTAATCCTGGGCTTGCTTCATTAAGATTATGGATAACAACTCTTCAGAAATGCTCATGGATATGTATCATATGAACAAAGAAAAGAGCAAAGCTTTAGTGCCAACAGAACAGGTCAGAAATTGCCAAACTGTGAGCAGAGGTTTGCTGTTAATAGAAAACAACAGTACAAAGCCATTGCCAGCTGTGGTGGGTTGAGCATTTGCTGAACTTTTCTGTCACATCTTTCCTATGACAATATCCACAATATCTGTGCTCCAGAAAAATGCACATGTAAGGTCTGAGGAGTATTACAGGGAAAAGAAATATAGCAGTGAGTGTTCCAAGCTGCTATTTAGGAAATGCATTTGGAGAGACAGAAAAGGAATGACTTCCTTATCAAGTAATAAATAAGGGAAAGTTTTGGCAAGGTCTGTAAATCCCCTGGAATAGAAATGTAAGTGGTACAGCATAAACTGTATCAGTGAAATGGTTAAACAATTCGAGGGAGGGTGTGAATGTATTCTGAGCCCACTCAGGAACAGTTTTCTGGCACAAACTGTGGCCCATGAGGGATCCAGGCTGGAGCAGTCTGTCCCAAAGAACTGCACTCCACACTGGAACAGGGGATCTGCATGAAAAAGGAATGGCAGGTAGAAAATACAGAGTGTTATGAATGACTACACTGTTCCCCACCTCTGCTGTGTTGCTTGGGATGGGGAAATAGGTAGAAAAGTCAGGAATGAAACTGAGCCTGAAAAGAAGGGAGGGGGAGAGGGTAGTTTAGTTTCAAAGAATTCTTCACTCTTCTACTCTAKTTTTAATTGGCAATAAATTAAATTAATTTTCCCCAAGTTGAGTCTGTATTGCCTSTGGTGGTAGTTGCTAAGTGAYCTTCCTGTCTTAYCTCAACTCATGAGCTCTTTAATCTTRTTTTCTTCCCCTGTCCTGTTGAGGAAGGGGAGTGAGAGAGCAACTCAATGGGTGTCTGGCAGACAGATGAGCTTAAGCTACAATATATATGATAGTCTTATTAAGAAAATAGTCTTTATGTTCTAAAAAATTTTCAAAAAGCTTCTACTGTTAATATTGAGCAGGAGATTTTATCTCTGTGACATAAGGTACACCCAATGCTCCATGTAGCATGAAAATGTGAGAAGTAGTGCACTGTCATTTGTTTTTCATAACTTCTTTCCCAATTAAAGCACTAATTTCTTTGTCTATTACCCATTGTGCTATTGGAGTTACCTTGTTATGAAGTTCTACCCCTGGTGTTATTCTGTGGTTATGTTTTATTTCCATGATTTCAATTTTCCAAGATTGCCAATAGCCCTATTTGCCTCCAAGAGCTCTATCCCAATAGATGCAATCAGAGTATCTACAAAGAACCTGCTGGTTATTGAATGAGAAATTTGAATATCTTCCCTTGAAAGAAGTTCTTCTTTACTTGCTTCTGAATAGGGATTAGTTGTGTTTTTCCCAATCTGACCCAACATCTTTTCAGGTGTTTGGGCCAGAGCTGCTTGGAAAACTTGCAGAGTAACACCACAGTCACATTCAGGAGATGTCTGTGTCATCAAAGATCTCTTCTCCAAAATCCACTACATAGGATAATACTGCTTAAGTGTGGTAGGGAAGGAGTCAAAGCAGAAGGAAATGCTATGTACCAAAAATTGTGATTCTTCAGAATGTGTTGTCCGTGTCTATATCCACCAGCTACTCTCTTTCCTCTTTTATTTCTTGCTCTCTTTTTGGGGACTGTTTTTCACAGGGGTAGAGGATGATGTGTGACAGACTGCAAAAGGTGCAATGTCAGCAGTCTCACAGTGGGCTTGACCTGTAAATTACTACCAGCAGCATGAATATACTAATGACTATCATGAATACCTCAAAGTATTGCTATTATTGCATGTTCTCTTTCAGTGTATCCCACATTAGCTTGTACCACTCAAAAATACACAGAAAACAACCATACAGAGGTGTTCAGCTCTTACACATCCCCTTCAAATGTACACCTTCACTACCTGCTTTGCAAGGCACTGAATTTACCATTACACAGTAGGATCAGGTATTAATAGTTATATCAGATTTGATGTAAGAAGCATTCATTCACATATTAGGTGATTATACTCCTAGAAATAAAACTCCTAGAAATAAAACTCCTAGAAATAAAAATTATACTCCTAGAAATAAAAATAAAACTCCTAGAAATAAAAAATGGACAAAGTTTTGAATACAGACCATTACAGAAAGGTCTGTCTTCTCATCTTCTCTCACCTCTGCATTTTTTCGTTATGCTTTACTTCACAACAAAAAACTTCCAAATACACAGAAATGTCCTTTTTCAAAGTCTCAAAAGCAAGCATTTTAGATTTTCCATTCATTGCTCCTAAGGATGCAAAGCAGTTGCTATTCATGGCCCAGTGTTGGTAGATTTGTTCTGATTTTTGTCCCTTTTTTTAGTGTGAAGGCTCGACCTGTGCGGATGCCTCCTGGCTACCAGGCAGATCTTGTTATCCAGCTGGTGTGGGTGGATGGTGAACCTCCACAACAAATTACCAGTCTTGCTGTAAATTCTGCTTATGGACTGTAAGTAACTCAAAATTAAGGTTGCATTGATTTGCTGTTTATTGTATTAAATTGTGTATTTTCCAGCTATACTTCAGAATTTCCCACAGGCAATTAAGGTCAAAGCAAAGTATTCACCAGATGCTATAAATCAGAATCCTGAGGTAAAAATTATTTGAATTGACACAAGATTGTAATATGGGATGCTAAACTGCCATTTTTACTAATCCTATTTAAATACTGAATCCTATTTACTAATATTTTTACTAAATATTTTTACTAAATATTTTTACTAATCCTATTTAAAAGACTGAATCTTTTCCCATTATTCTGTTCATCTTTTCAAATAAAATCTAATTGCATTTCAAATCTGTCATTTTCAAAGTTGTTTTGAAAGGTTCACCAAGGTGAAATGCGTTTAATAGAAAATGGTGAAGTGATTAACTGTTAAATGCCGTTTATCATGACATCATATCTTAGTTGGAAATTTTCTTCTGAGAGCAGCATTTTTATGTCTGTGCTAATGTCTGCACAAGAACCAGTGACCTGAAACTGAGAATTGAATAAGAAGCATTTAAATTCAGTATTCTGTGTGGCAAGGCAAATGAGTGCATGTAATTGTTTCCTCAGGTTCAATTTATTTGCAAATTTTAATTTTTCTTTTACTGAGAGTCACTCAGATACATTAAAATGGCATTACTCCAATAAAATTWTTGGCTGTAATATGTGTTAGGTGCTGACTCTAMTGATTTTCAGTAAGTCACTGGACTMTTTTCAGAAACATTGGCAGTTTAATGCAGCAATGCACATTTGTGCAGAAATATTGTCTTTTGGGGTCTGATTTTTTAAGTTTTCAGCCTGAATTTCTAGATAGTTTCCTATTTATGAATTCTAGGAGTTTCTTTTCTTTACCATACCTCGGTGCATTTGTCACTTGTGCAAATTGTTGGGTTTTGCCTGATTTGCTCCCTTGCAGGTCTCAGACCTCAAACCAGCATCTAAATAATAAAAAAAAAAATCAAAACATTCTGTCACTTGTAAACTGCTCTGGTAGGTTGTGATTCTCCCAATAGTCACAGTGGTTTCCTAAACCACGGATTTGATTCCATCAAATGTTTTCAATTGTTCCATTTGCTGGGAGCAATGGTAGTTTCCAGGACAGCCTCCTTTAAAACACCACATGCTAAGTACATGAGTGTTTCAGAAATAAATGCATGTATAAAAAAAATAGGCTGATAACCTAAATTTATTTTTCCTAAAAAAACTACCCAAGAAAGGTCTTTTTCCTTACATTTTTTTCTGCAGACTCTCTTCCTATCTCTTGTCTCTCTTAACTTTTTCCTCAGGCCTATGACAAGGCAATGTCCTTTCATCAGAATTTTTGTTTACTTCATTAATTGTCACCTGTTATCCAACCTCACAAAATGGAAAACCTCTTCCACTTCAGCATTAAGCATGAGAACGTGTAATTTTTGCCATGCTAATTATTTGGGTCATCTTTTACCTAATTTTTCTTCCTATAATGATCAGTTAAATTAGGTCAAAAGGTTAAAATGGTTAGTGTGTTCTGGAGAGTCCATTTGCAGTATTCTTTTAATTACTCTGATTTCTGGAGCAATTTTACTGCAGCCATGAAACAGGAATAAAGTGAGATGCAAAAAACTTTTATTCCCATCAAAGATGAAAGACTTCAGACACTGCAAAATTTTATTTATTGTATTTGGTTTACTTTTAACAGTACCAAGGCTGCAAATTAACAGCATTAACAGCTGTATTATTTATGTTAAAACTTCTCCATGTTAAAAAGTAGAAAAGAAAATTTTACAAAATGCTTCAATTACAACTGAAGAACTAACCTTGAGGAACAAGGTTAAATACAAATAATAAATCTGTTTTAAAGTAGGTTCTGTTGGACTGAAAGCACTCACTGTAAATTTATTACCAGCTCATGGGGTAACAGTTTTCAGCTAATCTACATATTAATTAAGAAATGTCTGATGAGGTTTTTATGACATTTCTGTGAAAGATACCAACAGAACAGAATATCACCTAGCAACTAATTCTGTTCAAAAGTGAGAAATTCATTTTGTATTTGATTTCATAAGCACTTTGTTGTTAGCAATTTATCTTAAGCCTTGTTAATAGTAATAGCTGTCTAGATTTTTTTACCAATCCTCAGAAGTGTTATAATATTAATGAGCAATTTCTGATTCTTTTTTAAACTAATTTGTTTGKGTATAAGAAATATTAGATCYCTGTGTGTGAAATTAGAGGAGTTTAGAAAAATACAGATCAGGAAATGATTCATTTTTGGTACATGAATAAATAATTTCATTTTACCTTATTTGGTGTATGGAACCTTCTTTTTATAATGAAAGCAGTGTAAACAAAAAAGGTGAAACAGAGGCAAATTTTCTAGCTTCCCATCTTCTGCTTTTTCCACCTCATTACTTTTCTCTTTCATTGTTGTTTTTCCACACACAGATTCCTTTCAGATATTTTGGGGATATATTAAGAAGAGTCAGGTAGACATGAGCACACAGCTCACTTTTAGTGTGAATTAAGTGTTGAAATATTTTGCAGGGATTTGAACTAACCATCTTAATCACTTTTTACATAAAATGACAGAACTTGGTAACAAGTGATTCTGAATAGGATTGAATATGGTTTGGGGTTTTGAGTTTCTTTGCAGTTGTACCTGCAATCCTTTCTGTCTGGAGCTGGAAATTGCAGTCACATACAAAAAGAGAGAGATCTTGCCCATAAAACAAAGCACCATCAAAATGCATTTGCAAAAGCATTTTAGAGGGGTAGAGATTTTCAACAGAAATCTCTGCTGTACATAAGCTGACAGAGTTGGAAAGAAATTTTTTAAATGCCTTTCTGATTTGGGTATCTCCACAATACATCCTAATACATTTCATTTATCCTTTATATTTAGCTTAAAAGAATTTTTTTTTTACATGTATGTGTTTATATTTTAATCTATATTTGTATTTTATATAAATGCACAACCACTTTCATAAGATCTATGTCCGACTTGTAGGACATAATAATTATAATAAAATAAATAAATAATTATAATAAAATAAATAAATAATTATAATAAAAGAAAATTATTATATTTGTAGGGCATAATAATGATAATAAAAATATGTAGGACATAATGTCATAATAGGACATTAATTTATATCATTATTACAGGAATTCTGTTGTTCTGTGAAGCAGCATTTAGACATCACTGCAATGTGTTTGGTACAAAAAGCTGGTAAAAGTTGTGAGTCTGCTCTCTGGGAAGTTAATTCAGAAAACAGTTTTAAAGATTCAGGATTAAAAATCTGTAAGACATAAAAACTGGAAGCTTTGAGTAGTTTGTGAAGAAAAACTTTGGTGCGGAATTCATAATAACGTACAATAATTATTGTTTTGAGTTAGGAATACATTTAATTCCATATTCCTAACACTCCTGATGGACGTTTCTCTTTGCAGAGTGGCATTTGGGAACTGCAATGGTTTGGCTGTGGTGGATTTCATGCAGAAGACAGTTCTGCTGAGCATGGGCACCCTGGAGCTCTACGGATCCAGCGATCCCTACCAACGTCAACCCCGCTCACCGCGCAAGAGCCGCCAGTTTGCTGCAGGTAAGGGATAAATCATTCTGCTACAAGCTTGATATTTTTCTTCATTTTTTTTGCCTGTGGCTTTTTATATTGCTTTTGATTATATGCATGATTATTTGCCAGCTGGTGGAGTTTCTAGAATTTGACAAAAGAAATTTGACGTGCTCTAGGTGCGGGTGTTTTCTCGGAAACAAAATGGTTTATGAGGTTTTTTTTTTTCTCTTTTGGGATGGAGGTCAGCAAGTAATTCCCTTAGCTGAGTCTGGAAAAAATCATAATTAACAGAACAATTATGTTTCTCTGGCAGTCACTTGAAGTGTAATTTGTATGCTATTTTCTTTGTGGTTTCAATAAGTTTATTCTAATAAGTAAGACTTGAATTTAAGCTTAGTTGTACCTTCTGCTATTCATTTGACTAGTCAGTTGTGTTTAGAGAAGTGTAACACCTAGGATGTGTTATGTAGATATCACAAACAGCTCAAATTAACCCCTTCTTTAATGAACTAAAGTTCCTGATATAAACATGCAACATCCAGCTGTAGCCCATTTTAAAATCTGATGCTAAGAGGATCACTTTGGTAACTCAGAATTGTTATTATGCATTGTGTATCTGAAATATTTCATATAAAATATAAATATATGGTACTTTGATACAGCTAAATTTTACCATACTTTGTTGGTTAACTAAACATTTACTTGTATGAGAAAAAGTCAGAAGATCATCTGTGTTTCAAGTTTTTTCACTTGACATGTTCCATAGTAGCATGCTAGAGTCAGACACAATTCTGAAATGTGTTTTACATAGCTGTGAAGTTTTAGAATTAAATTTAAAAATACCTTTGAAAATGTGAGTTTTAAATCTAACCCTAAAATTATAAAAGCAACAGATTATGGTGGGTTTATGCCATCAGCATTTTCATCAGCAGTAAATCATGAAATCCTACTTCTCCTTGGAGTTATGGGAATTTTTAAAGTTAATTGGGAATGTGTTTACACTCCAAACAGAAAGTAAAATTTAGACATAATTCTGAGAATAAAATAGAAGTCTTCAGGCCTACTTCTGCTCCTCAAAACCTCATAATCATGGCAAGCTTAGTTCCCATCTGTGCCAAGTGTTAAATATGTAGATTTGGCACATCTGAGGAGAAAAAAGACAACAGCTCCAGGTTCCCTTCAGCTTCTCTGCCTCCCAGTAGCTCCCTAAGAAATGTGAGCAGCTAGCCACAAAAATGCTGCAGAACAATGGGTAAAGGTTGTAGGAAAAGCTGTTCTCAGCCCTGTATCACAGAGGGTTTTTCTCTGGCAGTGACAGTCTGGGCCAATCCTTTAAGGCATCATTCCAGCAGAATGGAGCCCACTGGGGATAAATGACCACCAAGAAGGATTGCACACTTCTAGATTGCACATAGAAACTATGCATCTAAAAAAAGCCTCAGCTGCTTTCTCACCATCCATCCCACACCCTTTCCTTTTTTTGATTCTTTTTTCTTGTTATATCTCCCAATTGGAAGGTAAGCATCTGCTGAAATTTCTTCACCTTGGCTGTTCTAGATGCTGGTTATGATATCACTTCCTTTCACTTTAGACTGTTTTTTCTCTCTTTCCTCTGCCTGCTGCTGATGCTGGTGTACTGGCATGTTCCAAAGACAACTTTTGCATGCGTGGCCTGTCTAACTTTTATCCAGATTTAACGAAACGGATCCGTACTTCCTATCAGAGTAAGTTCTATAAAGGTTAGGCAAAAAGCTTTATCATGATTGGACTATGCCTGACTTAAACCCATGTGTTTGTGCTTTGTAATGTGTTTTTTTAAACACATTCAGCATGCATGCAAACTTACTACATTTTGTGATGTCAACCATGCTTATTTTGGACAATTACCTTTATTATACAGAAATTCTTTTCTTTCAAAAGAGTCAGAGAAAACCTCAGTGTTATATGGGGCAGACTGGGCCTTAGAAATTATTTTTCAGTGATGTTATGTTCATGGTGGTGGTATCTTGATTTGGTTTTTTAGTTGTTTCCATGTACATTTACTAATATGAAGCATTTCTTGTTTTGCAATGGCACTATCTGTAGTTATCAATTTAATTCTTCCCTTTTTTCAGAAGAACAATGTGTCTTAAAAGAGTACCCATTGGATTGGATGCTGTGAAATTTAAAATTTTAATCTTGGTTTGGTACTTAAATATTTGGCTTTGGGGAACCATCTCGTGCCTCTGATCTTTGATGGGGAATGTAAAGTGGGCATAAAAATACATACATCAAAGAGGGCTATGAAAATTAATGGTTTTAATATCTTTAAATTTTGAGTTATACTGATACAAAATTTAAATATTAGTATTCATCACTGCAGAATGCAGTGAACAAAGTTATAATTAATTTTGTAAAAACGACTGTTCAACAGATGAGCCATACATATCTTAATTAACTGCAATGCTTATTCATAATTAGGTCTCTAGGATGCCTCTTTTTAAAGTACTTTTCACAGAACAACTGGATAGGCAATTTTACATTGAATATTCAGTATAGGCAAGATAGGGGAGTGGCAGTTATTTTATCATCTCTATAAATATGAAGTGATGTAGCTGTTGAAATACATTGGTACTCCTGCACGACACATTCTGTTCCATCCCTCTAGGCTGATTTCTGTGACTTTATTTCATAGTAGTTCATAAAARGTGGTCTGTTTAGTTAAAAGACTARTCTAGTTACAAATTCAGCAGTTCACAAAAAGGTTTGGTGTATGATATCCCAAAGTCTATTAGTCTAGCATTGCTAATTTCAAGTCTGTAACAAAGAACCTGAGAGACAGACAGCAGTCAAAAGTTTGGGGGGTTTTTCCCTCCTCTAAAATGTTAATAAATTCTAAGGTTAAAAATTACCAGTGTTTTCATTTAGAATTACAAACACAGACCATAGAGTCTTTCATAGCTGAAAATRTATTATCTTGTTTCCATCTTCAACCTCAAAATTGGAAAATTCTGCAAAATCTTCCTATGAAGTATGAGTCTGGCTTTTAGGCAAGATCATTAGCAGCTTAATTTCTGTCCTCAAAAATGATTTGGTTCTTGATTTTGTTATTTGTTACTTATATAGGAGTATGTATTGTATGATCTGAAAGATGCACCAAGCAATAAGATCAAGAACAGTACTAGAATCTGTCATAGGCTGAAAATATCTTGCTAAGTTATTCTCAAGTTGTGCTTTGTTACATGTCTTATCTGAGAATGAGTTTTAAGAGAGGATTTTGGATTTTGCTTGCAAGTTTCACTCACAAAAGATGATGGGAAAAATATTTTGGAAATTGTGTAGTCAAAGCTGATATTATGACAATAGCAGGAACAATCATGTGATAACATTGGCATTAGATCTAAAGTTTTAAGTCTTATATCAATGAAAGWGGAAGTTAATGGGAAGATATGTGARTGGTTGCTTTAATTAAGTAATGAATCAGGAAGATAATTTCATGTGGATCAGTAGGAGAGAACAAGATCTGTAGGCATTGAAGCCAAAGAAGATATCATCAATGAGCAATGATTTTTTGTTGGGTGTTTTTGAGGTAATTTGCAGGAAGAGGCAATGAAATTTAGTATCGAGCCTGAATATGAGAGTTAAAGTGTGATRTTCAAAGATGTAACCAATATTATGGATTAGAGTGTCAGTGAAGACAGTGATGCTGATAGCTCTGTTGATGTAGTAAAGAGGAGAATTCAGCAAAAAAAAAAAAAAAAAAAAAAAAAAAAAAAAAAAAAAAAAAAAAAGTAGAGTTCATCTTGATGATGAGAAGTTCAGATTTGGACATTCCTGAGTGGATTCTGGAAAGACAGAATTACTGCTCTGACGTGGATGGAAGAAATCTGAGTTAGAGATGTGTATTTATGAACCATTAGGGTAATATATATATTTATATATATAGTTATTGGCATGTTTATGCAAAAGAATCTCTTTGAATACTGGATCAGAGAAAGAAAGTGTTGATATTTCAGTCTGGGATGTCCAGCAACTGAACAGGGAAAAAAAAAAAACAACCCAATAAATGTGTAAGAGGGAAAAAAAACAATATGTTGGAGAAGAGAGACTTTCCAGAGGAAAGACTTAATCTACATTATCAAAGACATCCAATATGCAAAGCATARTGGTAGAATAAATGTCTTGAATTTTAGCCAATAAATCTGTAGATAGTTTAATAATGATTGCTTATGTAAGGTGGACTCAAACACAACCAGGATGGACTCAGAGCATTAAATATTCTGTGCTTTGGGAGGTGAAAGTGGGAAAGGGGAAGCAAGGAGGGAAAAAATGTAACCAGTTCTAGGCATKCATAGTGGAAAGGACTGAAACATAATTGATTTGGGAAGTAATTTGAGGAAAATAAGAAGCTGAGGTGAGCATGAGTGCAGAGCTTGGGGTAATTTGCAGRTGTTGATGACCTGTTCCATTTGCTGTAACATCTACAGCCACTTTCCTTTGTGGTAAGATTATATGACAAGCTAAATAAAATAAAACACTCTGCAGCAGGGCAGAATTACGTTGTTGGTTGGGTTTTTTCTTTAATTGAAATCAAGTCATACATGTCATTACCTGATTTTGGGTAACATGTATTCAAATATTAAAACAAGTACATTTACTGCATCTAGAGGGGTAATGTCTGCAGCAGAATATAAAAATATCAAAATGATGCAAAAGGAATTTGCATCTCCTCTAGAAATTCATACCATCTGTTGGTAGAACAAGAAAATTGTCTTTATGAAGCATCCAAAATCTGKTCAAGTCCAAAGGATGTTGATAAATTGCAAAATAATTTTCATAATAAAGCTTTTCAGTGAGAAGTCCTTCCAAAGAATGCATGCMTAGATATATATAAATAGATAATTTTTTTAAAAGTATGATAATTCAGTGTGAAGATGATGGATTAAGATAACACTGAATTTACTTATTTTATTGGCTTGTGAATATTTATGATATTTTATTTATAATTCATATATTTATAGGCAAAGGTGTAGTGGCTTTGGGTGCTTTAGAGTAAATGATCAGTCTGAATCATTCAAACATACAGATAGAAATTGAAAATTTCAAAAATAATTTTAAATGACAAGTTCTTTAAAGTTGTTACCTCATACTAGACAGTACAGGTTTTGATACTTTAATGAAGAGGAAATGAGAATCACAGTAAATTTTGAAAAGTATCCATAGGACATGTGTTTTTAAGTGTTTTAATGCCTTATGTGATATATTTACATCTTGCACTATTTACATATGATTTGCTCAAATCAAAGCCAATTTCTTTATAATGTCCATTAGTATATCTTCTCTCGGGTGGTTCTCATTGCCAGTCTCAGGTTTTTCCTTTTCTTTTTACTGCTGTGTTCCTCTGGGTGGACTCAAAATTTGCTGGGGTTGGGGTTTTGGAGGGCTAAAAAATAGCTAAAGTATCTTGGCACACAAACTGCCTACAGGACTTCAAAATGGAAAGTGAAAATATTTTTTTAATCTAACTTCAGTAGCTCTTGCAGTGTCTCAGACATTTRAGGGAAGCTGAGGTCCATGGAAATATTTATACATGGTAAATTATTGAAAGTATTTCATTTGGATTCCTTTAAAAGGAAATAACAGTAAAAAATGAGCAGTAGTACAAGGAAAAGCTTGAGAGCTCCCTTTCTTATCTCAAAGGGAAACATTTAGTGGAATCAAAGGTAACAAATGTGTGTTTATCCTTTTTAGTGAATGAGCAATTCATTGGCTTATAACATCTTCAGAATTTAGAATTTAACAAGATTAAAAGAGACTTTGGATAAATGGGTGCATAATGAGCAGAACTCATTATAATATTTCAGCAGGAGAAAATCTGCAAGTGGAAGTGCTTAAACAAGTCTAAGTGAGRTTAAGCCAATCTCACACTGTACCATTTATTTCACATGGGGATATTTACATTTCTTTAAAAGCATCCATAGGTGGTCATTGCTAGAGGTGACAGTGTTCAGCATTTTTAGATACCATAACATAAAATGTATCTTTAATTTTTTATGTTGYAAAAGTGTGCCAAACATGAAGAAGTTGTGCTCTTCCTACAGCAATTGCTCTCGGGTGGTACAGTTTGGTGTTTTTTTCTGTTTCAGTCCATAGCACTATGATTTAAATTGAGATGGAATATTGTTTTTACAAACTTCATGAGGAAAAAAAAAAAAAAAAAAAAAAAAAAAAAAAAAAAAAAAAAAAAACCAACCAAAAAAAACCCCAAAAATAAACCAAAAAAAACCCAGAAAAAACCCAAAAAAACCCAACTATTTAGAAGCAAAATCTGACCTGGGATTTGACATTGTTACCAACATCAGTACCAATTATACAATGTTTAGATCATCATCAAGGTTTTAAAACTTCAGTATCTGCTGTAATGCATTTACAACAGAGACTTACAATATTTTATTTATCCAAGACTCTGAGGCAATGGAAATGTGCCAAAATTGCTCCCACTGCACCTCACTGACAGTTCTGCAGCAAAAGTCAATTCTGTCCCAAATCTCTAGGTACATATAGAAATCCAGAGTTCAAGTGGAATCAAGATTTGCTGGAAGAAAGATGTGCTAGAGAGGCTCCCTAAATGATTMCAGTTTCTGAATATTCTCAGTTTTGAATACCATCAAAAGTGMCTGAACTCACAGCTGATTGAAATAATAAAATTTTAGCACAGATTCTAAGTTGAACAAATATTCAAGTACTTTTCTCAAAATAAAAAAAAAAATTTTGGTTTTCAACAGTAATATCTAGTTTGGCAGCTGTTGTTTTTAAAATCAGGAGGAAATATGTCATTAATAGTGATTTAACAGACTAAATCAATACTGCTGCTTCTCTGAAGGGCTCTCAGCATTATTCTTGTGCTCCTGCATCTTCATTAGTGGTAGGAGCTTGTTTTGTAATACTTGCAGGGCTCTGGCTTCTTTTAGCAGTTCAAAAATAATTGTAATAAAGTCATCAGTACCTACATTAAGATTTCACTGATGTTAATACCAAGAGAGCAGCACTGGTGCCTGAGTGCAGCAGAATTGTTCAAAACAAGAATGTATATGAATACCTTCCCCTCAATATCAAAAAATTGAAATTTGATAATTTGAAAATTTGAAATTGTACATTCAAATTGTGCCAAAGATGGGTCTTGGTTTGTTCACAGGAACAAGCTCAGGTTTTTGCAGTATAGAGTAGGTTTGTTTTCCTTGGTGCTGCCTTCCTCACAAATATTTATAAACCATATATAAAGTATCTTGTCAAAAAATTCTGTGTGATACTCAGCCAGCATTAGCAATACTTCTGTGTCCTTTAAAATGACCTATCTTGTGTGAATTCATATGAAAGTTCTCATATTTCACAGTAATGGTAATTTTATACTTTTCCTCCCCTCTTTTAAGATTTCCTCCCTACATTATGCAGCAGTTGAAAGCAGAGTTGTTTCCACATCAGTTTGACAGGGATGAATGAGTTTGAGTCATATCACAGGCTTTTAAATTTTAAACTCTACTTACTTGTTTTCTTTTGTTAGGTACAGTCACTCTTTTCTATCCCAAGACACTCGGAAAAAAAAAAATCTGAGTTAACAAGAGGTGTGATTTCTTTTTTAATTTTTTTTTTTTTAAACCAAGCCTAAATTGCTGCAGTGACAGCCTGATAACTGCACTTATCTGAAATAGATTATTTCCCTCTCATTTCACACCATTCCTTTCTCCAAATTGACTTGAAAGTGCAGAATCTCATCAACCAAGAAAGTTGAAGCATGCCCTGTTAGATTGTAACTTAACTCTTTAACTCCATTTTTTCAGGCCTGACTGAACTCAGTGACAGTCCAGTTTCCCTGGAGCTWGAACGTTGCAAGTCTCCCACTTCAGGTAAAGGTGATTGGCTTCTCTTCCTGCAATCTGTATAAGCCATTCATGTCATGTGTCACTGTGTTTCATTAATCCCTAACAAGTGCATAGTGCCAAAGAGAAGAAATTACTGGAAAAGTGCTTAAATTACACAGCACAATAAAATCCTAAGTCTAAGGAAAACTTAAATGTACATGGTGCATCTTGAAGTGAGCAGTGTGAAAATATTTGAAGCAGCAGGATCATGCAGGTATATTCCTATAACCTATAAAAAGCTTGTTTCTCTGTTCTCTCAATTTTTTTTACAGTAGGGAGTTCTTATAATTATATATATATTATGCATATGTGTATATGGAGAARTTATTTGAAAAACAGCAATATGGAGATGGTAAATTTGAACCATTAGAACCCACCATTAAAAGTTATGTAATTTAAAATGAAAGCAGAACCTCAGATAAAAATATTTGCTTATGAGCCAACTGTGACCTGGCAGGGAAATCTTGGCCACAAAAATTATTTATAAATGTTTCCCATTTTACCCATAYTCCTTTAGAAGGTGGAATTAATCTCATTCCTAAAGACTTTTACTGCAAGTGCCTKGTCTGATTGATCTTTTTAATGTAAGTTCCCAGTCTTGAACGTCATTACTAAGAGCTTTTTTCTAGTAGCTGACTTTTAAATGTTAAGAAAAATAAGGAGGTGTAGCTGTGATGCATTCACTTTGCTTGTGGGATGCATATCATACTTCATTTCCTTGTAGTTTGGTAAGTATGATAGATATTTTTCCCCCTTAGTTATGGTAACAAACTCCCACAAGTATGCTATTCAAATTCTCTGTTATTGTTTCACATATTTTATGTCATAATAACAGGATGCATTAATCTTGAATGGAGGCCACTAATTAGTAATTTATTAAAAGCTGAAATTAATAAACATACCAAGAGCTAAAATAAAACAGCTGCTTTGAAATATGCATTTCCTTGTACTATTTGCAACCCAAAATCTGTAGACAGGGGAATATCAAAATGAAATAGGCTATAATAATATTGGTATAAAACTGGGAGTTCAAAATCTTGAGTAGGGACTCAGAAACTCATGATATAGGCTTTAAAATAAAACATTTGAGAGCTCAGTTATAATTAGATTATTTATTGTGTGGCTCACTGGGATTCAACTTTTCACTTTTCAGAAATGAGCTTTSCTTGTCTTTTCACTGAAAGCTAAGAGATGACTGACTTGGTAACCATATGTGCATATTCTGAATTTTATAATGATGAGTGTCTCCTATAGCACTTTACTTTTTCTGCAGTGAACTTCAATTTTTCATTCTGCTAGTGCTCAAAAATAGCTCTCTTAGATAAATCTAAGATAATTTGCTCCAAAATTTATTCTGCTTTTTTCTGTTTTGGAGATATTCAGCAGGGAAAACATAGCATATTTATGGGTGTTTCCTATTTTAGCACTTTCATGTTGTTTTCCAAGCTATATTTATATTTTTAAAATGTGGAATCAGGTGCASTTTTGTAGGAAGTAACTATTATTAGACCTGCTTTTTAAACCAAGACCTTTCTTCTACTGTGACTGGTATCAATTACTTTTATAAATTAATGCAAAATTTAATTAATATTGCTTCTGTAAAATGGGGCAGAATCCAACCTAATSAGCTGGGATAAGTGACCTCAGAACTGCACCCTGCAAAACTTGGGAGTGGGACTAATTTTGTGCTCACCAGCACAGCCTTACACCTACACCAGCCTTCTCACTGACTAATGTTTCTTGCTCATAGAGCACAGCCACAAATTAGGGATTTGTCAGGCAGGATCCTTCTCCTTCCAGTCTTTGTAGTGTTTAAAGCTACAGCACACAAATTCCACAGTGGAAGTGTTCTGTGTTCCATAAAAACCCCGGGATCTTTATGTTTGTAAAACCAGTGACCACATTCCTCAGCTGAACAAATAAAATTTGATCCTTYAGAAATTTAGCAACAACAGAAAGAGCATTTTGAGTGTTGGGGGAGGCAATTTAAGTTGGTACCCAGTGGAGGAGGATCTGCTGGGTGTTACTGCATGAGACTGCAAAGACAGAGGGAGTGGAGTTTGATTTGTAGCAATCCATTCTGATTGGAGCACATCAACATCAGTTCTTCACCCAGCAGGGAAGTTCATGTCAGGAATTGGCTCTGAGTGTGCTCAGCACACACACAAAGTGCAAAATGCCAGAGGACACGAGTCCAGATGGCAAACACTGATGGCACACTGGTGAGCATCTTCATCCTTAGCTCCAGGGGGGAGAGATTTAAAAAACAACATTGCTGTGCTCACCTGGGTACTTTGAGACTCCCAAAAAAATGCCCAGGAAGAATCCTTATGGCACACTAACTGCCAGAGTAGACACGAGTGGTTTTACATCTAAAACAGCCATTAGTAACTGAGTCAGATTTCTGTTCCAGTCAAGCCATAAGAACAGTGTTGGTGAAGGCTTCTTGGAGAACTTGAAAATATCTCCTGCCTCCTCATTTCTTGAACCTTGCTTAGACTACCTGAATTATCTCTGTTTCKATGAAAAATTCATTTTGCCTGTAATATCCTACTGCTTGTCAATGTTTTAACCTCTGACTAAGCCTAGGTCAACTCAGTAATTCAGYTTTGTTGTTTCTCTTTTCCCTGCCTCAAAGCAGAATTAGGTATTTGTGTGTTCTATCATTGATATTGAGCACTGAGCAAGAGGCTCAGRGCTGAAGATGACTCTTTATTTCACATGCAGGGCTGGTACATAAATCAGTACAAATCCTAGTTTTTTATTAAGTARTATTTAACTTGTTTCACAAGACTGTCTTCTCAGATGTTCTTCTTGTACTATTTACTAAAACATGACTTTGTAGATGATGAAATTGAAAAATCAGATTCCTGTTCTGAACACTGTTCAGAATAGAACATAAAATTAAACAATTTGATTAAAACTTTTCTGAAATGCACAGTGCCACACAGAGGGTACAACAAGTGAAGAAATACCTACCTTGCTTTTTAAGAGTGGTAGGCAGAGGAGGGGAATAATCTTCMTTAACCACTGGTATCTTGTTTAATTAAGCTAGTATTTAATTACTATAGTGATGTATTTCCATTGCTATAAAGGAGAAGAAGTTAATAAAGTAATTTGAATGATTCTGCTTATTTTTGAATAACTGAGAGGCAACAATTTCCATTGTAAATGTATTCTGGATGTAATATATGTGGAATAACACTGGTAAAAATTGTGGAACAAAAGAACAGTACTGCAGCAAGGCATGCCATGTAATTTGGTATTTGGTGGCTTARTGCCAAAAGCCTCAGAATATCTTTTTCTTATTCCTGCATGCCATGTTCTTTCAAACTGCATTTTCATTTTTGTTTGTTGGGTTGGGGTTCAGAAGGGCTTTGTACTTTCATTCTGCAGTGGCACACGAGAGCTCAGTAGCTCTAAARCWCTCATCATTTAAGTGGTGCTATATCAAATGCTTGAATTAACTACTGTGTAATATTATTACAGAATTGTACCCATTGCAGTAAATTTTGCCTTTATTTTTATCATTTCATTAAGTAAACTTACCCAGGGGCTCTTAGGAATATCATATATGATATATATAATTATCTATATGATATATATATAATTATCTATGTCCAATATTGTTTAAACATTTATATGGAGCTTCATATTGAAGTGTATAGATGGGAATACCCTGTGAGCACAGGAAAATACAGCTTTGAGAGGTCATTTGTTGTGTGAGGTGAAGTTGGACTGTTTAGACTTCTTTCAAAGACCAGAAGGAAAGAATTTCTTCAGTCTTTGTATAGGAGAGTGACTTCTCAAATGTTTGTTCTAAAATGAAAATGGATTTCTGGTTTTTTTTTCATAAGAAATCATCTTCATATTGGGGGCTTGCATCCAAAATGCTTTGAAGCATAGAGAAGGCTGTGTAAAATTTTCCACCATTGATTCCCATGGGTTTTGGGACAGGTCCCTAATGGCAAGATTACAAGTTTTTATACGTGCTGTGATTTCCAAGTGGTGCTATCCTGATTCATTTCATTGCTTAAATCTGCTGGGATTAGCCAAACTCCCACTTTCCATGTGAAGGGTTACTTAAATAACTTTCTTTCAATAAGCATATTATTAAGTTTTTTAACAGTCATTTTCTTTTTTTTACTTTTGGGTAACTTCAGGTAGCTGAAAAGATTTTACTCCATTTGAAAATTGTATTCTGGAAAATAAGAAAGTAAACATTTCAAAACATTTTGTGTGTCTGTAAAACATTTATTTATGGGTTGTGCCTTTGTGTTTTGCTTGAAAGACTGATAGGAGTGTTGTCAGGTCAGAAAACCTGTGTGCTCAGCTTAGCTGGCTGCTAGACTGTTCCTGGGARCTCTTTCTCATCCCAAAGTTGAGTAATTTTAAAATCTTAACACTTTAAGCTCTTTAGGGTAGGGGCTCTCTTGCCTTATGCTGTAGCATCACAATTTCTGCTGGCTATCTCCAACAAATGATGGTAGAGACAACTGCTGTCCTCTCAAACCTTTAGACTMCATTCTCAAATTAAACTAGTTTTCAAAAGCTCTTGTTAAGACAGGCTTATGTGCATGATCTTCATTTATAATACATGTAAAGAGAGTAAAACATGCATGACTTAGGTCCTAAAAATACATTACATAAACTGATCAGAATGTGGATATTTTTAATAGTTAAAAAAAAGAAATTCATATGGACAGCTTTAATCACAGTAAAACAGGAAAGCAAACCAGTTATTTGTTTTTCTGTTGTTTTTACCCTCAAATATGTGTTGTGTTGACAGTGGTCTGTGCTGTGTCCCAGTGTGTCAGTGTCCAATATAAAATATAAACCARTRTAAAATTTGGAGTGGRAAATTGTAATATTCCTARTACTCTAAAAAGGTGAAAGAAGTGAAGAAGGYAGCTATARACCTGTAAAATTAATATTTATCACTAAAATAATGTGACAGCTGTGGCAGCTCCCAAACCAAGCCTGTG